CCGCGTGAGCGCGAAAAAATTTAATATGCATCGATTAGCTCAAGTTTACGGAGAGCTGGCCTAATCATGATCTGAACTAATTAAACGTTGCGTCTAGACTAGACGAACAGGATGGTAAAAGGCTTATAAATATTTTCATCACACTAATGGAGTTATCCGTTCCAGTTTCCCTACCGCCTCTTTCGTATCAACGACCCTTCTCGGTATATTTTATGTAGCTTTGTGCCATAGCTGTTTTTTCCCGTTTGAAGATTACAGTAGTTAATTGGATTGCGAATCTCGCAAATTCTATATCGTAAAAAAGTGTATAGCCCTTATCTCTTAAGATTAACAGTAGAACGGCTCAGATATTAAACTAGGCACGTAGTATATTCTGAATCACCTTAGTCGTGTAGATGTTTAAGTTGTTGCGCGAACGTGGCAACAACGCAAAGGTCCAAAAATGCAATAAAAAGCTTTTGTTATTTATGTGAATATCAAACAAGTATAAAGGAAAACGTAAAAATAGCCTCTTAGTAAGGGGTATTTTTATCTTTTCCATAGCTTGCTTAGTGATTAAGATAGAGCACCAAAGTTTCTTCAAATAGAATGTATACTATTTTATTGGTTTATTGGTGCAAAAAAATATTACGCATCCCATTTGAGAAAACAAACTTTGGTGCTCTATCTAGAAAATTAAAAAATGCCCCCTGACTAAGACCGTACTTATTTGATATTCCCACAAATAGCTGACTCTTATTTATCTAACTCATTATTGCACTTTTGGACTTTTGCGCTGTTGCCACATACGCGCCCGTCACATCTAAATTGACCTAATCGATCTATGCAGTTTTGAAAAGCACTAGTAACTACGAAAAATGTAAACCGCAACACTCTATCTTTTTTAGTTTTCCAAAAAATATCCCCTAAACACATCGAAAACAAGCAATTTGGAACACTCTGTACACAAGACGACGTCTACTACATCAATACGATTGATTTCTAGGGAGGTTTCTTTTTCTGAGGATAACATTATGAGACTGTTTAATCTGCTTTTGCTCATAGTAGAGCGTAAATAAGTTTTTATTAATTTAAGTTTAGAAAAGCGCCCCCAGAACTGGGGCCCTGGCCGCCCCCCACTTCTTTACACCGCCACTGGGTACACATACACTCATTGTCTTTGTACAAGCGATCTTCTACGAGTTTTCAGTCAGCGAGACATACATATATAAAGTTTGCATAACTATTGAAATTTTCTGCAAAGTTACTATCAAAAATATACAGTGTTTTATCGATTAGACCTCAATGGTATCTGATACGGCACCAAAATCTGATGCGGCACCGTTTCGAAAAATACCTAGTTACGCTACTGGTAAGTTAAGAAGACTCTTAAGAAAGAAAATCGCGTACTTTTTTTACAACAAAAAATGTTAATGGAGATTTGCCAAGTGGAAAAGGAGTGAAAATTGTATGACGACTATTACTGGCAAAAGAGACAAAAATGTTCAATGGAAAAGTTGTAGATCGTGAAAAATCTCAAAATAACTAGAAACATCGCGGAAAACCGTGTTTTTCGTTTTTTATTTCCGTACTTCGTACTTTTTCGATCAGACCTCTCAATCAAAAGTTATAGACTAGAAACCAATTTCGAAAGAAAATTCGAAAGGCTGTAACTTTTGAACTAGTAGTCCAATCTTGGAACTGTTTGAAATTAGGGGTTCTACAGGCCACATTGTAGAAGAAAATTTTTTTCCGGGTCGATCTGAGACAATTTTCTTTTCGGGCCTCAAAAAAAGGCATGTATAACCTTCCTTTTTAGCAAAAATCGACTGCATCAAAATTTCTCGGGAAAACACTTTTTCCTATTAATTTTGGTGCGTAGAATCCAAAACAATTCGTACTTTTTCGATCACACTTCTCAATCAAAAGTTACCGACTAGAAACCAATTTCGAAAAAAAATTCAAAGGGCTGTAACTTTTGAACTAGTAGTCCAATCTTGGAACTGTTTGAAATTATGGATTCTACAGGCCACATTCTATAAGAAAATTTGTTTTCCGGGTCGATCTGGGACAATTTTTTTTTCCGGGCTCAAAAAAAGGCAGTGTATAACTTTCCTTTTTTACCAAAAATCGACTGCACCAAAATTTCTCGGGAAAACACTTTTTCCTATTAATTTTGGTGCGTAGAATCCAAAACAATTCGTACTTTTTCGATCAGACTTCTCAATCAAAAGTTATAGACTAGAAACCAATTTCGAAAGAAAAATCAAAGGGCTGTAACTTTTGAACTAGTAGCCCAATCTTGGAACTGTTTGAAATTATGGATTCTACAGGCCACATTCTATAAGAAAAATTGTTTTCGGGTCGATCTGAGACAATTTTTTTTTCGGGGCTCAAAAAAAGGCAGTGTATAACCTTCCTTTTTTACCAAAAATCGACTGCACCAAAATTTCTCGGGAAAACATTTTTTCTTATTAATTTTGGTGCGTAGAATCCAAAACAATTCGTACTTTTTCGATCAGACTTCTCAATCAAAAGTTATAGACTAGAAACAAATTTCGAAAAAAAATTCAAAGGGCTGTAACTTTTGAACTAGTAGCCCAATCTTGGAACTGTTCGAAATTATGGATTCTACAGACCACATTCTATAAGAAAATTTTTTTCCGGGTCAATCGGACTTCTCAATCAAAAGTTATAGACTAGAAACCAATTTCGAAAAAAAATTCAAAGGGCTGTATTTCCGCAAAAATGATTTTCTTCTAACGAGACTTTTGTTTGACTACAAATTGGATTTTACATAAAATACATTACAATAATGTTTAGTGCACTATTGTACCAAGGAAAATAATTCTTCAAGTTCTGATGAATTTTCCACGATACCCAGAACGCTTGCAGAATTTCCTCTCTGTATTTCTAACGCTATGCGTTGTACGAAAAATGCACCTGCTCTTCGGTCGTCTGATTTTTCAAGTAAAAATTTATCTAATTCTTTACTAAAAGATTTTGCGTCGGGTGACTACATATCAATCAATTTTCAATTTTCTTTTTTTTTGCCAAAAAAATTGTTAATTAACTATTACGTAAACTAGTTACTACATACCGTAATAATGGTTTACGTTTGGTCACGTTTGTTACGGTTTCGAAGCCATTAATAGATCTCCTGTTGGAATAATGTCACTTCAGTCGAAGCGTAATAGATTTGATGAAGTACGCGTCATATCGTGCGACTCTTGAGTTAATACACCTAGCAACACTGAATTGTACTCACGTTTAAAGCTCTAGATTTAATAAACATGAAAAACAGGAGTAGCGTGAGTATAAAAATAGGAATTATTAACGATTTTTTACCGCGATTAAGATAATGTAATTGGTTTTGAAAGCTCTCGTCGAAGTGACCAAATTACAACCGAGTTGTGTGACGCAAACTAAACTTAAAGTGGACAAACTGCGATAAAGTTTTTGAATTCGCTTGCGTTTTGTAGTGGTCAGCAAACAGCGATTACGTGAAAGCGATTTTAGCAAAAGTTACGTGCGGTCGCTCATTGGAAAATAATAGGGCAAAAGGAGTTTTCCTGTATTTGACTAGCAGAAGTTTGTAGACTAAAATAGAGCTATGTAAATTGGTGTACGTTATGCAGGTGAATCGGCTTGTAAAATTGAGGAAGGTTGTCTAAATCCGCTTTATTTGGAAATCTTTTTAACGTTGGGGTAAAATCGTGACTGATGCTGGCTGTTGAATTCCTACCTTCCAATTTAGCTTCTTCGCATGTTTAGTGGTTAAATGAGGTGCTATACACAAGGAGTTTCTATACTTAATTACAATGCATAAATTATACAAAATAAAATCTCGAAAGAATCTGAAGAATCATTTGCTTATAGAACATTTTTTTAAGTGAAGTGTACCCAAATCCTTAGTGGACACTCACTATCAATTTCTTATGCTCGAGTGTGGTTTTCCCTTGCTTTTTGCAGGGACGATAGTAGGGCCTTTCTACCTTCCTGTACTTTGTTCCTAAAGTTGATTACTATACAAACGTTCCCTTATTTCTTGCCTTCCATTATTGTATTTTGTTGGTATGTTCCTGCCTGCCTTGTACCTCTCCAATCTATTGACCTCCACTGTATCTTTTTCCATGCTAATTTCTACTCCAATTTTTTCCAAGATCCCTTGTATCTTGTAACTTGTTTTCCGTTTCCTATGGCGCCTCTTCGTTTCTGTCTTGCCCCCTTGAATTACGATATTATTTTTTCTTATCTCTCTTTCTAATTCACCGATTCTTCCCCCTTGTTCTACTGCAATCTCCATTAATTTTATATTTTCTTCCTTCAGTTCATTTATTACCTCCGCATTACTGTATAGTTTGGCCGCCATTGACGTTAATTTCGCATTTATTTGCACCGCAATTTTCCTCCTTTATACTGTCTCCTATACGTTCTCGATTTTACGTTTAGTAATCTATCAGCTAGCGCCAAGGAGCAACCCCTCTGAGAGGCTATCCCCCTTATCCACTGACAAATACAAATTAATTTTATAATTTGGAATACAGACCTGTTGCAATCGCCTTTTATTTACCAGATTTATTTGCGGGTTTATCCTATCTTATATCTGGTTTAAGCTTTACCTTTATTTTTATACGTATAGTTGAGAAATTGTTACATTTACGGTTTTTCTTCAATTTAAATTTTTATTTTCGAATCTGCTTTAGTATATTCACTTTAACTATGCTCTTTTTTTCAATTTTGTTGACTGCCTTTCCACTAAAATTTGCGTTTATTTCGCGCGACGTGTATTAATTAATAATAACTAATATTGACCACTTGTTTTGTTATGATTCGGTAAAAAAATGTGATAATAAATGCAAATATTTCCAAAACGGCTAAAGCAAATGTTAACAAATATATTTTTGAAATCAAAAGGAAAAGACTATTCAATTTTTGAAAAATACACAGGACGTTTCTTTAAAATTTTACCAACTTTGCAGTTTTTTACTAACTTTGTTGTGGAATAAAACGAAATAAGGTAGCAATATAAAAACAATATTTATTTTCATTGGAAAACTTGTCCAAAAGAGCTTTTTCAATTAGAAGTAGTACCCATAACCTACAAAAAATATAAATTACCCACGTTATCGGTTCGCACATTCCATTACCTAATCCATAGTATGGCATTCCCATTCCATACCCGTAATTCCAGTACTGAGGTCTTGGTTGGGGCATTGGGTTCGGATTTGGCGATGGATTGGCCATGGTTAAAGCGAAGATGGCCATTACAAAAGTAATCTGCAATTTCACAAAGAGGTGTATTACAATTTAAACCTACTAAAGACAATCTTACCAAAAATGCAGCTTTCATTTTGGTTTCTGTGGTTGGGGGTCCACTGATTGCTCCTTCCGAAGTACGCACTCATTATATAGGTCTGAATTGTGTTATTATTTTCACATTAATAATCAAATGACACTCCTATCTTTTAATTTTATCGCTGCCTAACGGAAATTTAATTACCTAGCTACCATTGGTGATATTCGTATATCGTTAGTATTTCATCAAAGACAAGATTTCTCGTTCTTTTTTAGCAATCTTTCATCTTGTCTTGCAAGAGCAAGACTTTGGCAAATGTCTTGTCATGGTAAATCTATACTTCTGATCAACTGTGCGAGGAGAAATACGTCAACGTGATTAATTCTCTTAAATCCCCAGCAATAACAAATTAAAATAATTACGGTACTTGTTGACGGTAAGGACTTTATTTTTAATTAAAACGAAAACTTATAATCAAATGCCTCCGTGATCGCTGCAAAAGGTAAAATGGAATAAGTAATTTAAAATTTTATGTGGAGAACGAACGTAAAAGAGAAAGATTTCAAAAGGAATGCCTTCTTACTGCGTTATTAATGTTATTATTATTCCTATTGGAGTAACACAAAGCAAAATGAAAAAAACGTAGGCGCACTCGGCCTTATAATGTGACGAAATACTTACTTTGAAGCTCAGATTTATTTATTTATTTTTTAATTTATTCGTTGCGAGATTTTCATGGTAAAGGTACAAGAACATAACATTTGCTATCTGGACAATGAACGTCGTTTATTTATAGCACAAAAGGCTATGGTTGGTGTTCTTGTCGTACTATGCTTTTAATAAACAGTTAAATGTTACCTGGTCTTTTTATACAGGGTCCTGCAACACCCTGTATATGTAGTCGGTTCGATACCGACACTTTGACAATGAAAAAGTTGAATTTGGTGATACGGGGTGTTCACAAGGAAATTTCCAAATCTCAAAGCGCTATAATTTTTATTTTATTTCTCCTCAATTTTTATAAAGGATGTCTAAACCCAGTTTTTAGGTTATTCATATACCCATTAATTGATTACATATTTTATGCACCGGAGTTTAAAGGACCCTGTACAGGCTGTTTTTTGGGAGCTTTAGTGAAACGTTTCTGGGAAAGTAAAATACGTAGGTTTTTGAAAATGTGTACTTACGAGTTACTTTGAAGGCCGAATTTATGTAAAATATTTTCAAAATGTCCGCACTTCCGGAAACACCGGAAGTAAATAGTAATTCCGTTATTTTAAATGGCAACCCCTATTTTTTATTGCATTTTTGGATTCTACGTTCTTTTGATACCCATATGTCATATCTGCCATTTATGGTTTTTAAGTTATTTTGACTTTAAGAAAAAAAATGGCGGATGCAGATGGTACCTTGATAATTGATTACTTGAAAACGGTTGTAGTCATGGCAACCTATTTTTCTCAGTGCATAGAGAATGAATAGGACTTTCTTTTAGTGCACTTAAAAAAAAGTTAAGTTGCGTACGACCGCCCCTATGGATATCCAATTTTATGGAACTTCAAAGACTAAAAACTCAGTTTTTTTAAATGGAATGACCATGCTCTTAATATTGCATGAGATAGAGAATCGAAATTGGCATATTTTGATATTACATGTTCCTATAGCTATCTTTAACAGTTTCTGATTTATTCCCATTTCATTGAATTGATCTCGGAATTGATGCCATTTTTTTTCGCATTTTCTTTTTAGTAGTTGGCCATGATTTTATAACAATCGAATTTTAAACAAATCAAGGAATGGATTCTTTAATACCATTGATTCTAGTTCTAGTCTAAATAATTCATTAATAAATCATTTATTAAGGACATAGGACGGAAAATTTTTGAAAAATCTAAACAGAGTCGTTCAACTGAATTTCTTAAACAACGTATAAGTCTGGAAATTAAGAGAGGTAATGCGATATCTGTTCTAGCAACAATTCCATACCAAACATGTTTCAACGAAGTTTTTTATATTTTGCATTGAATTTATTTTGTTAATCTTGCATTTGAAATTGAATTCATTTTCTTAAATATTCTAGTGTAGAGCTTTGTGTCACTTGTGCTTCAACGGTTTGTAGTGCATTAGGGGTATAAAATTTCCAAAATTCATACAATTTCGTTTCAGTTTTCGAATGAATGTACGGAATGCACGCGCCGCGATTCTGCCCATTTCACCATAAATAACAATTAAATTCCAAAATAGGTGAAACCACTGCGAGTGGGTGATGGATTAGTGTCACTAGATTTGTTTAAAATTCAATTGTTATAGAATCATGGCCGACTGCTAAAAAGAAAATCCGAAAAAAATAGTGTCAATTCAATAAAATGGAAATAAGTCAGAAACTGTTAAAGATAGCTATAGGAACATGTATTGTCAAAATATGCCCATTTCGATTCTCTATCTCATGGAATCGTAAGAACATGGTCATTCCATTTAAAAAAACTGAGTTTTTAGTCTTTGAAGTTTCATAAAATTGGATATCCATAGGGGCGGTCCTACGCAACTTAACTTTTTTTTAAGTGCACTAAAAGAAAGCCCTATTCATTCTCTATGCACTGAGAAAAATAGGTTGCCATGACTACAACCGTTTTCAGGTAATCAATTATCAAGGTACCATCTGCATCCGCCATTTTTTTTCTTAAAGTCAAAATAACTTAAAAACCATAAATGGTAGATATCGACATATGGGTATCAAAAGAAGTGAAATTTCACGTGGAATCCAAAAATGCAATAAAAATAGGGGTTGCCATTTAAAATAACGAAGTTACTATCTACTTCCGGTGTTTCCGGAAGTGCCGCCATTTTCAAAATATTTTACATCGATTCGGCCTTCAGAGTATAACTCCTAAGTACAAATTTTCAAAAACCTACCTATTTTACTTTCCCAGAAACTTTTAACTAAAGCTCCCAAAAAAACACCCTGTATACGTGGCGAAACATAAGTGATTTTAAAAAAATAGTTCCCCCTGTGGGTTCGGGGGTAGAATTGGCCCACTCTCGCCCTGGAGGTCGTAGAAGGCGACCAATGGGACAGGAGGCGGTTAGTCCAACCGTCTCCTGAAATACCCTTAACCTGTTCCAATTCCAAGAATTCCATCCTATTATCTCTCCTTGCTCATTCTGTTTATTTATCCCGAAATCCTAAAAGTGTGACGTGGGAACTTTTAGCCTGCTCTATCGATGAAATTAGATACGAGTTGAAAAGTCACAGTGTTATAGAGGTACGAAGCATGAAGCAGAGATGGGATGGTGTACTGTCTTATGGACCCACTCATATTTTCACCTTCGTCTCCCCTAACCTATCAAGATGCTGCCTTTAATATTAAAAGGAATTGAGAACAAAATGTAGATGCAATATAACATACAAAAAGGGCTAACTGAAAGGGTATTTTAAGAGCTTGTTTATATCCGTGGCAACAGAAAAAACCGTTTCCCTGTGGAAAATTGTTATCTATTCCTCGATATCGATGCAAACTACCTACCACGAAGGAAAGCTGAATGGTTTTCGGTCGTTGTAACTATTCGGCTAATATGGGAAGTTATCAAGGCGCTAATTAGCGTTCAGCGGGACAAGAGATGTGGGTTAATTAACGTGGCTTCCACGCCTTGAAACTACTCGTATCGGAATATATTTCCAATTTTCGATCGGAGCTTTAATTGTGTTTTTCATCAAAACGGAGAAACCTAAGACGCGTGCAAGTATTTTCCCTACAGTTAATGAGAAATTGCGAATTTTACGTTCACATAAACTTTAAATTGCGATCTTTTGTTCTACCCCGTTTAATTAGTGACGTGTTCTCATTGTTTCAGGTTAGTAAAGCAACCGGCTTCATTACGAGAAAAACGATTCGGTTTGGTAAGTCTTAATAATTCCAAAACTTTCGGGATAATTATTCCCGTGCTTGAGTTGCTCATTAGTTTAATTATTTATTATACGCAATTAACGAGCGTGACGTGTATACTGGTTCCTAATGTAAGGAAACGTACAAGATACTGAATAACGACGAAAAACTTCTGAAAATATTATCAGTTATTCAGAACCCTTCTCAATTCCGGGACGCTTCCATTGGCACCCTTGTTGTGACAGTCGAGAAATGTATTTATGGATTTAGGGTGAATATTGATTTACTCCTGACCTAACTTGGAATCCATTACACTTTTTCCAATAGTAATTTCATTCAACCTACTTTGTACAGAGTTCTCTCACCTCGTGGTCTTAAGGTGGTGAAAAAGTGGAAATTTGTTTCCACAATAACTTCCTTCTGGGTAGGTATACAGTTTTGGTTGAAATAACATTCATTCAAATATATAATGTTCCGACATTTGCATGACACAAAAATGATTTAGCTACTTTCCCCGTTATTTAAGAAAGAAGTCCTTAAAAAACTCCCATATATATCTCATTTTTATTACACACTGATAAAAATTTGTTATCAAATTTAACTTTATTCAAAAGCTTAAACCTTTAGCAACTATCGGTCGTTAACAGAAGTTTCCTCGAAACGAAGTTATTGAGGAAATCGCAAGGCAACTTTTGCACTTTTTGTAAACGCCACCTTAAGATTAGGATAACTAACCGCCTGAAGCTTTAGCATTCGTTGCGAGCTTTTCGTCTTACTACCGTGAGGTTGTGCGTGCCTTGAATGTCTTCAACCTTTACAAGTTAGAAGGTCTGTTCTATTAAGCACGTTTTTTTATTTATGAAAGTATCCCATTGTTGGCACCTTAGAGGAATAAAATTTCTTTTCTGACAGCATTATTTACAAAGCAAATATACTAGAAAACCTTTGGGAAATGTTTAACGTAGTAACGGGGGAAAAACACAAAGACGCATATCGAGTTACAAATGAGATTTAAATCTCGCAACTTTGTGTTATTTGTTAGACGGAATTTTATGATAAAATAAAGATAAAGGGTTTCATTCATGTCTTGCTTTAGGTTCGCGAAATTTATGGTTGCAGCCGAGCATGGGAGTTACTGGCGCAAAGGGGAGCGTAATGTACAAATCCCCAAAATCTCCGTCATTTTTGGTCAAGCTAATA